AAATAAGTAATCATCATAAATAATGCAAATATAAATAATAAATACAATGTACATTTGAAATAAAAAAAATGTCTATAGAATAGTGTGTTTTAAGAATATTTTGAAATTTCAAACCAAAATTTTTCTAAAATTTCAAAACAAATGACCGAATGTTGCGAAATATAATGTTAACAAAATTTTTAAAAAGCGATCTATAACAATATGAATTATATTATACTATACATATTATATTCTAAAAATATGTATTTTAAGATAACTAATTATAGTAAATAATAATTGCACTCGATTCAAGTTGATATCATTGGCCCTTGCGTGTTAAGTTTTTTTTTTTGAAAATTTATATCTAAACAATTTCAATTTTCCAAAATAAATGGATGAATGTCGCGAAATATAATTTAATGAAAATTGAAAATATCGATCTATACACTCGATTCGAGTTGCCCTTATGTTTAATTTTAAAGTTAAACATTTCGCAAAGTCCAAAAAGGAATGGACGAATGTCGCCAATATAATTTGAAATAAAAGAAAACGGACAGAACATTATATTATATTCCGAAAACACCAAATTTAAAATAAGAAATCATTACAAATAATGTAAATGTAAATAATAAATGTAATGTACATTTGAAATGAAAGAAAGATCAATGAGACTATATACTATATTTTAATGTATAGGTTCTATAATATGTTCTAATAATACTTATTTTAAAATAAATAATAATCACATTCCATTCGAATTGACATCTTTTGTCCTTGTGTTTCAAGACTTATTTTGAAATTTTAAAACTAAATATATCCAAAATTCCAAAACAAATTGACGAACGCCGCAGATATAATGGAAATAAGAATAATAATATTATATTCCAAAAATACTAATTTTAAAGTAATCATCCTTAATATATATATATATATATATATATATATATATATATATATATATATATATATATATATATATATATATATATATATATATATATATATATATATATATATATATATATATATATATATATATATATATATATATATATTCTCACGTATTGATCCGTTCGCTCGTTGAACTCCGACTGGAATCCTGCAAACCCTGCATCCGACTGGAATCCTGCAGACGTTTCGCCAAAATCTCACTTGGCATCTTCAATGCTCGCGCTCCGAAAACACTTCGAACACTTCGGAGTTCAACGAGCGAACGGATGATATCCCGGAATATAGTGTCATCATATATATATATATATATATATATATATATATATATATATATATATATATATATATATATATATATATATATATTATTAATATATATATATATTAAGGATGATTACTTATATATATATATATATATATATATATATATATATATATATATATATATATATATATATATATATATATATATATATATATATATATATATACAGTTTTCACTTAAAATTCCGCACGCCAATAAGTCCAAAACGAAAAGAAATATTTAATTTATGTAAAAAGCAGTCAAAGTGTGGGGTCAAGTAGATATTTCCTAAAGTTTAAAAAATTCGACGCCTGCAAAGAGCTGGGCGTCGCGACGCGTCGAAAAATTATTCGATTGCAGAGACTTTGGAAATACGCGCATACAAAAGTACATATTATTTAAAAACTTTTTTATTATTTACTCAAACTTATTTACTTTACCCGTTTCTAAGTTATACCGATTTAAAGTAAACATTTCTTGATTAATAAAAAATGTGATTAACGCTTATTTTTACAAGTATGCCATGAATGTTAGTTACTATGGCAACCATTGTTATCGCAGTTGTTTTAAGTGCAATTACAAACGTAAGTTGTTATTGCTGTATCAAAAAATTGTCACATTTTGTCACAAGAAATATCCAAATTTGTTCGGTTAAAAAAAAACTAAGAATTATTATGTGAAAATGGTGCAATTTAGCAATGAGGAAAAAGTAGACATGTTACTGGTGTTTGGAGAATGCAGATGCAATTGTAGAGAAGCAAAAAGAGTTTACGCACGGCGTTATCCGCATAGAAGAGTCCCCGATGCAAAAACCTTTTCAAGTTTATGTAAAAACTTAAAAGAGATAGGAACAGGACGGCTACAAATGATGAAAATACTGCTGCTGTAATTCAGCAGGTTGATAATAACCCCAAGATATCCCTATCAGAGATAAAAGAAAATACCGGTGTTACCATAAGTTCTTCGTGGAGAATTCCACATAGAAACTCTTTTCACCCGTACAAAAGTAAACTAGTTCATAAACTAGAACCAGGCGATTATGCTAGAAGAATGTATTTCTTAGCGACATTGTCCGATTTGTATAGCCAAGATGCAAATTTTCTCTCGAAAATTTTATGGAGCGACGAAAGTCGATTTCAAAATAATGGAATCGTTAATAGACACAACTGTCGTTTTTGGGTCCGAAAACCATCCTCGTTGGATTACAGAAAGAGGTAACCAACGAATTTTTAGTATCAATGTTTGGTGCGGCATATTAAATGGATTCCTTATTGGACCTTACTTTTACGAAGGAACTTTAAATGCAGATCGCTATTTAAGATTTCTTCAAACTACACTTCCGGAACTATTAGAAGAAGTGCCTCTTGACACTAGAATGAATATGTGGCTACAGCAGGATGGAGCGCCTGCACATAATGCTCAAATAGTAACGAGGTATTTGAACCGAGAATATCCCAATAGATGGTTTGGTACTAATGGACCGGTAAGGTGGCCGGGGAGGTCCCCGGACATTACACCACCAGATTATTTTCTTTGGGGCTACCTAAAAAACGTTATCTATGAAGAAGCTATCGAAGATATGGCTGATCTCATTAACAAAATTAGTGCAGCGTGTGCCGCTATCACAAGAAGGACTCTCCTACAAGTGACCCAAGCTCATCTGTTAAAAGTTTTTGATAGTTGTGTTCGAGCAGATGGACATAATTTTGAACAAAATTTTTGAAATGTCTTATTATGTAGTTAATTGCAATAATAATTTTGGTTATTAACTTGTAGGTATTTTACTGTTTTTTCATTTATTTATGATGTTATCAGAACTAAATCGATAAAAAATAATAAATAAAATCATACTAAAATAGTTGAAATCTAATGTTTGTAATTGCACTTAAAACAACTGCGATAACAATGGTTGCCATAGTAAGTAACATTCATGGCATACTTGTAAAAATAAGCGTTAATCACATTTTTTATTAATCAAGAAATGTTTACTTTAAATCGGTATAACTTAGAAACGGGTAAAGTAAATAAGTTTGAGTAAATAACAAAAAAGTTTTTAAATAATATGTACTTTTGTATGCGCGTATTTCCAAAGTCTCTGCAATCGAATAATTTTTCGACGCGTCGCGACGCCCAGCTCTTTGCAGGCGTCGAATTTTTTAAACTTTAGGAAATATCTACTTGACCCCACACTTTGACTACTTTTTACATAAATTAAATATTTTTTTTCGTTTTGGAGTTATTGGCGTGCGGAGTTTTAAGTGAAAACCCCTGTATATATATATATATATATATATATATATATATATATATAATTGAAATAAAAAAAACGATCTTGAAGAATATAAAATAACATACAGGGTGTTTCATTTAAAACTGCGTACAAATTTGTAACTTACCATTGCTTTCGATAAGTCAGTCAAAATTTGAGCACAAAATTAGTGAACACATCGACCAGGGTATATTGACTGAAGCCCTGATTTCGCTAACGAGTAAAAAGTAGTAAACAAAAATCGACGAGCAGATCATTATCTCCCATTTTTTAGAGGTGAAGCGACCGGATTTAAGCACCACGCACGCGTCAGAGCTTAGATTCAACCGATAGGCAAGGAGAGATGATCGATCGACTGTCAAGTGCGACACGTGCCTATCTGCATCACGTGTATCTACTCACCTGTATCGTTAAATAGGTAGATTTAATGTGTTCCCACGATACGTTTCGGTGTTATATCGTTATTCAAAAAATTTTAAATCCACGTCGCTGCAATAGGTTTTTGGGGTAGATGAGAGGGACGACTCATCAATGGGTCAAATGCTACAGAAAATCAAAATTATTTAAAATATGTGACGTGCGTGGCAAGACATTGTCAAAAACACTTTATAGTATATTATGCAACAAGTGCGGTAAACGGCATTTGACTCACGCGTTTTTAATAAACGAATGAGTTAAAAAGTTAATTAGGTATTTTACAGACGGGAGTAGAAAAAGTAATAAAAAACATCGAATTATACGAGATTTATTTTAGTTATTGAAAAGAAATCATTATTTGAATGGAAGAGTTTTATGAATTTTATATTTGACAATATCATACGATCCACATACACAACACATATCCTTCTTAAATCACATAGTGTTGAGGTGGACGGATTTCTATACATAGCGGGTAAGTTCATGAGTTCTTGAGCATGGTACGAAATAATACGATCGTAATAGTACTTTAAGCAACAATGCCTTAGTGCTTTGCATAAACAATACTGTGTTTTTTTCCCAAAAAAATGAACATGACAAGGCGAGGAAACCACGATTAACCAAAATAACCTAAACCACTCGTAGTCCAAAAAATAACTCTAATAATAACGGTACATATCGCCTCATCTAAACCCCACACAAGAACCAAAATTCAAATAAACCCAGACTAACACGTCCAAAATAGACGATCATATTTACCGATAGCGCGACTCTAAGCTGCATGGGGGTCTCTATCAGTGCGCACGCTATTCTGGTGGGGGTAAAAGCAAGCCCCGCCCTCGGACCGTCACGTTGTGGAAAAGGGCGGAGCCTAGGGGATCAAGGATCTCTTCCTTGGGAGGACGATTCGAACCCCCCGATCCTGTCAGTGGTGTCACAGGCAAACTGTGTAGTTAAAGGACAGTTATACGTCTTACGCACTTCGGGCGTGTATGTGACATCGCTCCGGAAAAGACAGCTCTGTGCCGGGTGCTTTGTAGTGGACCTTCTCGAGGTGCTCGGTGTCGAGTGCCACTGGAAATGTTGGAATTTTATCCCAATTTGAATTTGAATCCGGCAATGTTGCCGGATCATCCGGGGACAATGCCTGGACCCGATTGCAACGGTAGAACAGGTGACTGAACCATTTTGGAGCTAGTTTATTAATATAGTTCTAAGGTTTATTTGGCATTTAAGGTGAGACTATGAAACTCACTGTCCGAAATATTTATTCAATAAAACGTTGGGTGGAGGTTGGTATTTTTCATGTGGCATTAAGCAATAGCCACAAATAACATGGATAATATATATTCGTTTAACGGAATTAGGGGGATTTTTAAATGGAATTTTAAAAGAAATATTTAAAAATTAACATTTTATACAGTACAGCAATTATCTAAATATTTGTACAAATAATTTCTGTTGCCGTTTTATATCTAGTTTATTATTGGTCCTAGCTCACTATTTTTATTTTCACAGTTACAGTAATTCGGTTTGTGGCAAATTAAATTTATAATCGACACATATTAATTTATTTCAACTTAAACAAAAGCCATACAGTTTTTGGAGATTTTTATGCAAACTCATTTGTTATTTGAAGTGTAGTCGGGCTTTAATCTTCAACTGCAAGCTAAAAAGCCGCTCTAAAGAACTGTTGTCTAGTGAACTCAACTAATGGGTATATTTTAAACTTTTATACAGGAATCTCAAACGTCGAAATTGTTTTTTTTCTTATAGTAACGATTTTTATACTAAAAATAAATAAGAACTACAAGTTCAGATTTTCATGAAAATATATATTATGACATGACAATTGTTTCGACAACACCGTGTCTTCATCAAATGTGTTGTCGAAACAATTGTCATGTCATAATATATAATTTCGTGAAAATCTGAACTTTCAGTTCTTATTTATTTTGATAAATGGATTTTCATCAAGTAAAAGCCACTTCAGTTCAATTTTTGAAAGAAGCTGAAATTGGTTTTTTGGCTATTTGGTATTTTACGTTGTTGTCGAAACAATTGTCATGTCATAATATATATTTTCGTGAAAATCTGAACTTTCAGTTCTTATTTATTTTGATAAATGGATTTTCATCAAGTCAAAGCCACTTCAGTTCAATTTTTGAAAGAAGCTGAAATTGGTTTTTTGGCTATTTGGTATTTTACGTTGTTGTCGAAACAATTGTCATGTCATAATATATAATTTCGTGAAAATCTGAACTTTCAGTTCTTATTTATTTTGATAAATGGATTTTCATCAAGTAAAAGCCACTTCAGTTCAATTTTTGGAAGAAGCTGAAATTGGTTTCTTGGCTATTTGGTATTTTACGGTGTTGTCGAAACAATTGTCATGTCATAATATATATTTTAGTGAAAATCTGAACTTTTAGTTCTTATTTATTTTAATAAATGGATTTTCAAGAAGTAAAAGCCATCTCAGTTCGATTTTGATACTAATAAAATAATTTGTAAGTAGTACTGAGTTGCTATTTCTATTTTGTCTAGTTTTCGTGTATTTTTTTGTCTAATTGTGTTTTTTCAAGTTTAATTTTTTACATATGTCTTTTAGACATTCACTAATTGAATTTTTTCTGATGGGCCTTTGTTGACAGTTGATTTTTCCTATGTTAATTATGTTATATTAATATATTAGTGAGTTTTAAGTTGATTTTGATTTTGTCGACCTATTTAACTATTATTACAGTTCTTTAATAACTCACTAACCAAAACCTTTTCTTGGCAAAATCGCGTGACGACGCCTTAACAAATGGGAACTTTAAGAAGTCGTTTTGGTTTTTCAGCCCACACCCTTTGACATTTTATGGGTTTCCCGTATAGTTTATTGCGTCGCCACGTGTATCGAACGACTGCGATGCCGATCGAATACCTTGGGGTGAAAGAGGGAGCCTTTATTCGACCATGGTTAGCGCTGATTCGACTTTGGTGAAATATATGTAACAAAAATCGATGAAATAAACCGAACCGAAATTGGCGAGTAACTTGTTACGCCGGAACTCGTTAAAATTAATAAATTTGGTGGGACTTATAAGTGCTCAGGTAAATAACACTCTTAAAAAAGCGAATAATTTGAAAAGAATAAAATAAATTTTAACCAGAAAATACTATAATTAATCACCATTGAAATAAAAAAAAGTATTAATATCTGATTTTGGCTATTTTTATAATTTGATATGGCAGAATTAGCAAATTCTTGTATAATTCAGTTTTCATTTTTATTATTGATTATTTTTTATTTTCAGCACAAACCTTTGTCTTGATTAAATTTCTCATTAATATTTATGTACAATACACACAATCTAAAAACCTTAGATTTTACCTATACCATAACTTGGAGATGATTGGATGCTTGCTTTAGGCAGGAGGTAGACATGTCCAACATTTACTGTAAGTTTTTTACCCCGTTTTTATGTAATGCTGGTAATTTATATTGATTAAAAAAAGTTATTTAAAAAATTGTTTCATTTTTGTATATATTATTTCAATACTTCAAAAACGGTTGCTAGTTCAGACTTCCAATAAGAGGAACCTTTTCCGATAAAAATGTATCTTTGTATCTCGGTTTAATAATTAGTATTTAAAAGAGGTTGAAAAATTCTCTTTGATGAAATAAAACTCGACAGTGAACAACGACGGCTAAATAAAAACTTTTTTTTGCAAAGCATTTTACAAAAAAATTATGAACCAAGTGTAAGGCTGCTATTTCCTTGCATACTAACTCATGCACTCAAAAAGATGTATAATTTTTGGCGTCGGTAATTTATTCGCACTAGGAAAATATGGATAAAACCTGTATGAGAGAATGAACCGCGTGAAAAGGCTTTCGATGTAACCCGGAACACTTCGGTTCTACCGAAAGCATTCGCCGTCGGCATCAGAGACCCGACTACGTCATTAGCGCGACTTCCGGAAGTTTGAAACCACGAAGGCTTTTAGCTTCGCTTATCGTAGGCCCAAAAACGTCAGGACAAATTTGGGATGTCGGCTGGGCATTCCGATATCTTCAGACGATGACGAACACGATCTACACTACATTCGATAAGATTCGGAAAATGTTAAAATCGATTTCAATTTCTGTCTGTTTCCAAGAAAAACCTGACAGAACTTCAACGAATGGGTTACGGGTCAAATTAAAAATGTGGGTCTTTCCGGCGTACGAAGCATGGAAATTACAAACGAAGATAAATGTAGAAACTACGAATGAGATTTCAATCATTCCGTTCTTAGTTATATACCTGATATATTATTTATTTCACTAGCTGAAAACTAATTATCAGTTGGAAACTAAAATATATTATAAAGTCCTTATAAAAATCTCTTTTTAGAAGGACTAATTCAGTATTTCAATGTATAAATATTTGTTATTCTATTTTTTCGGCAATAAATAAAAAGCAGAAGTCAACTAAACAAATAAATATTAAAACTAAGGAAACATGTTTATGTACAAATTTTATATATCTTTAATATAGTTCCCTAGATAATAAACTATATTTAACAGGGTTACGCAGCCCTTAAAAAAAATCCCTGAGCGATTTAGCTTTCGAAACAGTATTATTTCTATATCTATCTATATTATATATCTATTTATGCAATTATATTCTAGATAAAATTAGAAATTTCAGTAGAATATGACTGGGAAAACTCTGAAGTGATTTTTTTTGGTATTTAATGCTGTTTGTTATATTTACGTTTAATAAAAAACGGTCTTATCGGTGTGAGGTAATTAATAATATCTGTCAAACTATATGCGCATCATTAAATTTTAGGCAGAATAGGACAATAAAATAAGTAATTTTCTTTGTAAAAAAGTGTGTTTAACAAGTACAATGAGTAATTTTATAATTACTAATGCGGCTTGATTGAAACAAAATGAAATTGGGAAGAATCGCAGAAATTTGGTAGTATTTTTATAATTAATTTTATTCAAAAATAAATATTAGGGAACTTTTCATAAGGGTTTCGACCACTTATTTACAATAACTTATAATAATAATTTATGAACCGGAAAATTCTAGTGTTTCAACACAGACGAAAAAAAAATTAAAATAAAGGCCAATTTAATTATTAAACATTTTGTGTGAAAAACCGACCATGGCGCTAAAAATATGGCACCAGAGGTGTAATAATAAAAATTTGGGGCAACGTGAATGCGGGATGGCGAACGAATAGACAAGACTGAATTAATTAATTAATTACCATAATTACGCAATGGATAAATTTGGGTAGCCAGGTTAATTAAAGATAGAGACCTACTTTAGAAGAAAACTAGTCTTTTGACTCGAAGAAATTCTATAAAAACTTACCGTCACTACAATATTTTGACTCTGAATAGACTAGCATGGATATTAAGGAAAATAGTCTGGGCATAGCACAAGGTAGTATTCTTGGTCCAATTTTATTTATCATTTTTGTGAATGACTTGTATTTCGTAACACGGTCAGAAGAAGAGAGCATAATATGCTATGCGGATGATACCAACCTGCTTGTAGATGGAAATAATCTCACCGAGGTTAATGATAAAGGCAACGATATTTTTATAAGGGCTTATGACTGGTTTCTAGGAAACAAATTGATATTAAACAAAGAGAAAACGAATTTAATTATGTTTAGAACTAAATTACGGATACGGAAATAGCGCTAAATTCTTAGGTTTACAAATTGACGAATTTCTTGATTGGTCCGAACATATTGATTATCTGCTAAATAAATTAAATTCGATTTGTTATGGGATTCGAGTCGTTGCAAAATTATATGAATAAGGAATCTTTAAAAATTATGTACTTTGCAAACTTTCAGTCGCGCATGAGGTATGGAATTATCTTTTGGGGGGGGTAGTGGTCAACTACAGAAAATTTTCGTGGTTCAAAAGGGGACTCCACTGTCAAAAAATGCAATTTGGAGAGAGCGCTGTAGAGGGGTGTTCAAGACTGTTCAAGCATTGATATTCTTTTTTAAAAATCGAAAGGACTTCGAACTACAGATATTTCATAGATATAATACCAGGACCCTAAATGTAAATTACCCTATTCACCGTTTAACCTTAACTGAAAGGAGTCCTTATTACATGTGCCTGAGGTTGTATAATAAATTACCAAATGAGGTAAAAACAATGGCAAATCTAAAAATCTTTAAATACACAATAAAAAAGTTATTGATAGAGCTAGAACCTTACTCCATAGAATATATTTTCTGTAAAATTTAAATAATTGTAAATACGATGTAATTGAAATTTGCAACAATATCTGGTGCTTTTTCCTGACGCCGATTTCCTCTGTGTTTGGTATATTATTTTTAGGTAATGTATTTATGACGCAATGTGAAATAAAGTTGATTATTATTATTATTATTATTTATTGGCTGATTTCTAAAAGGTCCCTATATTATTCCCCAAAATCGGTGCATACCAATTCCGGGAAATTTCCAAAATAGAACGGTATCACTTGAGAACGCTCATTAACGAAACCACCTTTACAAGGTCGTACAAATGTTACGGTTCTAATTTACGTTGGAGCGATAAAGGAACGGGCGAGAAATAATAATCTTGAACAAATACCGCGACTCGCAAACACAGATAACGGGGAATTCTATTTGCATATATTGGGCGACTTAATATCGAGCTCATCTCTAATCGCTTAATTCCGGTTATTTATGTATACACGAAACGTATAAAACAGGTGTCTTTAATAATTAAATTGGAAAGGTATCGAAAGTGTGAGCTCGTTAGTATTCAGTAGAAAATTTCGTAAAAGCTTAATTGAGATGTATAAGTCGTCACAAATCCGTTTTTCTGTATTTTAACTTCAGTAATTCAAACTAAAAAGAGTGCACACACAATTTAATAAATATTGATAGTAGAAGTTTTAAACTTAATGTTCATATTAATTATAAGGTCCATCTAAATATTGACAGTTAATAGATGATAGATAGAATTTTTGTATTAATTAAAAAATAAATACTACATTTCTATCTTAAATAAATATGCATTTATATCAAAAAATCCCCCCTATAATACATATTTTTTGATAATATATAACAACGTACAATTTTTGTGAGTACTTAAAAACCTTAACTGGCGGGTTATTTACTAAACATATTATTAATTAATTATTGAATAAAATTATATCAAAAAAGTCTCGGTGAAGCGACTTTTTTTACTATAAGAGCTTTTAATTTTGGTGGGTATCAGTTAAAAGCAAATGCTATTATTTATATCCGATAACTTGTTCCATATACATTTTTAAATAATTACTGAACAAAATTATATTAAAAACGTCAGCAGAGAATAATTTTTTTTCGTTAATATATGAAAGCTTTCAATTTTTGTATTAATTGAAAATAATTACTACATTTCTGTATGAAATACATATGCATTTATATCAAAAAATTCCCTAGATAATAAATATTTTTTCAAAATATACAACAGCTTACAATTTCAACTGGCGGGTTATTTACTAAATACATTATTAATTAATTATTGAATAACATATCGAAAAAGTGTCAGTAGAGCATATATATATGAGAGCTTTCAATTTTGGTGAGTGTCAATTAAAACCAAATGCTATTATTTATATCCAACAATTTGTTCCATATAAATTTTTAAATGATTGTTGAACAAAATTGTATCAAAAATGTCAGCATGGAATAATTTTTTTTTGTTAATATATGAGAGTTTTTAATTTTTGTACTAATAAAAAACATAGATACCTACTATATCCGGCAACCCATTATATATTAAATAAATTTTCTACACCTCAAGCTAAGGATTATTATATGTTAAGTAAACATATTATAAAAAAAAATTCTATCAAAAAAGTCTGCATCCAATAACTATTTTTAGTTAACATATGAAACCTTTCGATTTATTTATATTTAATATCCGACAACATACTTATATATTATATTTTATTAAATAAACTTGTTAATAATTATTAAAAAGAGGTCTCTATAATTAAAAAGTTCATGAAATTGATTTCCTTTTGCATTACGCTTAGCCAAAGATAAAAACGTAGTAGGTCTTTTTGGTTGTCTCCGTATTTCAAAATGGTTTTATTTTACTTCGTCCACATTTGAACCGACTTCCTATCCCTTACACTAAGATCTCAATAGTGAAAAGTGAATTTCGCACACCGTAAATGGTTACTTATTAATAGGGAATTAGTAAAACCTCCAGAGCAACTGTCAATACACCTGGATGGTCAATTTTTCCGTTTTGTCAATATCATTACTTGTACTATTTGTTGCAGATGGACCTGGCCTGATAAAGTGCGAAAAAACTTACGAAATATGCGAAGGATGCGGCCAAAAAATCCACGACAGGTACCTGATGCGAGTAGCAGACACCAGTTGGCACGAGCACTGCTTGTCCTGTAGCATCTGCGGCATCTTACTAGCACATTCCTGTTACACTAGGAACTCTAAACTATACTGCAAGGCTGATTACGATAGGTAGGTATTTGGTGGGTTTACCGAAAAGCGAGCTTTAGAAGAAGATACCAAAAACAGTTAATATTTGTCTAGTAAACGAACCTAGCAATATAAAATAAAAAAAAAAATTAGAAATTAAGGTGGTGGTATTTAAATTGGAGTAAACAATAAATATAAAGATAGACGAATGAATTTGTTTCAGTATTCTAAATTAGAAAACCATATAATTATTATTATTATTGATTATTGATTTTGATTATTTGTCGATTTTCTTTAAGCCATTTTTTCTTTGTTACCTTTCATTATTGTCTAATGACTCCTAAAAAGTAAACCAACTTTTTTTAAAGATAAAGGTAGCTTAATTTCCATAAGACTTGAGTTACAAGTCAGTATAATACAAATATTAATGATATAAAATATATAATATAGAAAATAACAAACAACGGATACGTATTAAAATATATTTGAATTTTGGTTGACTAGTTCTATAGGCAATTTGTTATAAATGTTTACGGTCAACACAATAGGACTATTTGATGGAAGACGCAGTCACGTTGCTCTAAGTCCATACTCTTAGATCGGCAATTTTTTTTTATAATTATATTACGGAAGGTGAAAACGCATAAAAATCTTTTTAATGCGTTTTTTATGTATTTGCAGCATCAGCAAAACACAAATAAGGGTTGTATATTAAAAATATTAACCACTAAAACTAAAAAAAAAAACAATTTCTATTCTGGTTTTTGTGCTAAATTTGACGTAAATACGAAGACCCCAACAAGGCAAACAACCAATCAAATTAGCATATAACTTACAACTGGTGATAAAATAAATATAACAGTTTGATTTAAGAGCATAGTAAGAATATATAAAAGCGCAGTCAGACCTATTTTAACCTATCTAAAGACAAGATTAGATCCCACAAAGACCAACATTCGTCTTATTCAGTTCACTACTGGACAAAGTGAAAAATGAAGACCTTAGAGGACAGAGTAGTATTAAAGACGAGACAAAATGGAATAGAAATAGAAGCAAATTCCGGAGTAAACACGTAAACAGAATAAAAGACGATAGATTGCCACAAATCCTGGACATTTTCATTAGGAAAGACTTTACTAGGATAAAAGAAGAAGATTTAACAATAATTCGAGTTTTTGGTAAAAATTACCCCGACGTCAAAACGCTATATAAAGAAATTGAATGCGAAAAAACTCTCCTCCTTACGTTGCAGAAAATCGACAACAAAGGAGCTCCCCGACGTCCTAGAGATGCCGCCGGTATAATTGAATCCGCCTCGACGCCTTCCAAAACTCATATTCCGGCGCCGTCCCGTGAAAAGGCGAAAGAGGAATATTTATAAGATGGGTGCCGGTTTTCAATAAAGAGAGGGCGTTCGCTATATACGGCAAAACTGTACAATAAAATACATCCAGGTGGATTTCGGCGTGGCAGACATAATTAAAAAACGAAAAAAGGAGACGAGTAACTTATCCGGGGATCGTTAAAAATATACCATTTTATTTGAACCCCAACACCCGACGCCAAAAGTGTCAACTTTTGATGTCAGTTGTGGGGTTTGATAATCACAAATTTTCAATCTCTGCGTTCAACGTTCGACATCAAGTACTAACTTGCTTTTCTCGAGTAATAACTCGATGTGAATATCTGCAACTTGTGTTGGTAGGCATGTTTGCCAAAATTAATAACGTTGACAATGAACAGACTTTTTTAAAGTCCGAAAATATTACAATAGAAGCAAAACACTATCCTTGAAACACCTTTTCTCCTAAAAAATAAAAGCGTTTTTGTGATTTTGGACGAACTTTTTCTGGTTTTTGTGTAAAGTTAGATAAAACATTTTTATTATGGTCTAGTGCTATTAATGTGTATTTCTCTCTTAAAATCACTACTCCAGCATAAAATATTTCATGGCATTTATATTAGAAAAATTCAATTCCTCACAGATCAAAAGTTGCATTTTTAATTATAGCCACCATCTTCTTATCATAATAATAATATCGTGTACGTTTTGATGATCGCTTTTAAAGCGCAAGTTTGTCAAATGTCAACCAAAGCGTTGATTGTAGCCATATTTAATTATACATTCGTATTGTCAGTCGTCAATTTGCTTTTCCGAACTTTTCAATTGTTGCTTTCCAATATTCACTTCGACATTAAACCAAGGATTAACAGCGTACAGGTTATCCAATTTCCAATGGCTAACTTGAAACTTTTTTAATAATAAGTATTTATATTTCTTTTTACATTGTATGAGACTGCCTACCAGGATTTATTATTATTTGTCATCATCTTAAAAAAATATATTACAATTGATGTATATAAAAATAATGTTTTCTATTCATGGGGAAAGTGTCACCTTAGTCAGCCTAATTACTGACTTCAGCCATTTGGGATGTTTTCGTTAGAGATATATGTACAGTGTTCACCTTCAGCTGTTAAGAGTACTACAAAATAAAATGCTATAGTGAAAATTATGTTTAAAAGAAGGGAACTTTACTCTACTGCGTGGTTTTATAGAGTGCTGACATTTGTAGTGTTAGTACATGGGTCTGTAGTAATGCCAAAATAAAGTAAAAAAATAATGATTTGTTGACTCATGCCCAGTTTGAACTGCCTGCTGTAAAATACAGAGAAATACCTCATACCTTTGAAAAAGTTTACTTCAAAACTTGCCATATAACTACACTACCCAAGATGAAGACGAATAGGTTATGTTCAAAGAATAATTTGCAATACTAAAGTTCGCTGATTTTCATGCAATATTTTTTGTCAACCTAAAAATTTTCCTAATTTTTTTTTGCTCGAGATGGTACCTACTATTACAATGAAAACAAGGCTTCAAAAAATTAAGTACGAAACTGTCAGTTTTCCCTGTGAAGGGTTTTAACAAGGAAGCTAGATATTTTACTAGAGAATATGTTGGTGCTGACAATAGGTCGAAGGGGTGAATTTTTGGGAGTCCGTAGAGACGAGATATTTTAGAGTCACGAGGGGTAACAGATTTTTTCACGGAGTCTGATAGAGAAGAAGACGTAGATAGATGACGTAGGATCTTTTTTAAAGTTGACGATATGATCGGTCTGTAAGGATATCGTGCATCTTTTCCTGATATTCATTTGTGGCCATGAATACCGTAGCCTTTCCTTTATCTGCGTTTAGGATTACGATGTACGGATTGGAAAGGATATATATGGTATATCGTGTACAGTAAATCCAAAAGATATCGATTCAGAGGATATCAGAGATTTACCCATTAAATAATTTATTATTTTGGTACCATTTCCAGAATATTCGGGGTGAAATGTTCGAGATGTGGCGACCGGCTGCTGCCGCACGAGATGGTGATGCGCGCGCAGCAACACGTCTTTCACCTGCCGTGTTTCGTCTGCGTGATATGTTGCCAGCCACTTCAAAAGGGTGAGCAGTTTGTGCTGCGCGCCGGGCAGCTGTTTTGCCGCCAAGACTTCGAAAAGGAACTGTACCTGATGCAAGCAGGCTCCGGGGACGACGATCTGCTCGACGAGAACAGCAGGCCCAGAGACGGGAGAAGGGGCCCAAAAAGGCCGCGGACTATACTCACGTCCGCGCAAAGGAGACAGTTTAAAGCGTCGTTTGAGGTTAGAACCCCGGTTTTCGAAACCGATGTAAACTATATCTTCTTTGGGGATGAGATGACATTTATTCGAAGAGACAAATTTGCTAGTGGCAAATAATCACAAAAAACAAATGCTACTGTGCGTTCAATCAGATTGAATTGGGTTTGAAATATCTTTTTCCAAAACGAACAATTGGCACGTGCTCAACGTTCAATATTATGAAAATTAATACTTGCAGAAACTCATACTTCCTGAAATATAATGCGTTGTGTATCGTAACCAAGATAATACTTAACATAAAAATATTACAGTGATGAACACAAATTTAAACAAAGAAAATTAACAAATCAAAATTAGAACTTAGACTTAAGCATCACCAGTGAATCTAAAGTAGAATGCGCTAACCGAAGTCTCATTCTTGTAACGAAGGATGACGCAGAAGAACAAACTCGTTCTGATTCTACACTGGTGGGCTGCAAATGTAAACCACGAAATCTACCATTTTCAAGTAGGACCGTTTCCGTTTTCACTACCAAAACATCATCAGATTTTCCCTTCAATGATTGTATCAGTTGTTACGCCAGTTTTGCATCATTGGTTATGGCCTTATGCAGTTTGTGTTTCAGACTCATATTTTCAGCTGGTTTCAGTCGGCTAAGCCGCAACATATCTTCAAAATCAGAGTCCTTGTTCACAATTTATTGTAACTGATTCATCTTGGCCGCTAGGCTGGGTTCCGGAAAATATTTCAGAGATATTTTTAAAAAAAGTCGCAATTTTGTTGATCCGAGATGGAAACTGTAGTGTAGGTGATTAAATGTTTGTCCTTTAGAATTCACTCGTGAAATCTGGCCCACCAGTTCTGTGAAATACGCGAAATCTGTGAAATTTTCGTTACCTGTGAAATCCGTGAAATATTAACATGTTCCCTTGAAATTTTAAGAGTTTTCCTTTAATTAAAAAAATTAAGATTTCAAAAATGGCAATATGTAATTACTAAATAAATATTTTAAACTTATTTGCTATTGTTAGATTAAACGAGCTAACTAAAAACAACCAAAACAATTAAAAATAAAATTTTAAAAATTTATGCATTTTTATATTAGTTTATATTTATTTAATTATTTTTATTTTCATACTGACACTGAGTATGGTGCCGTATGGTATTTTTTGTATAAGGTTGTTCGGAAAGTCATTTCGTTTTTTCCCGTCAGAGGACTTAATTACGTTTTCTCGAAACCAACTTCACACTTAAGCCGCATAACCATTAGATGTCTTGAGAGCTGATATTGCAAGGCTTGTGTGTGAAAAAGTTCTATGAATTCTACGCAGTAGTTTTTGGTTGGTGCCCTTTTAAATATGGAGAGCAATAAGCAGCATTTTCGTCATATTTTACTTTTTTACTTCAGAAAAGGTAAAAATGCTGTCCAAGCGAGAAAAAAATTGACGGATGTGTATGGAGAAGGCGTGTTAACAGTACGCCAGTGCCAGAACTGGTTTGCAAAATTTCGATCCGGCAATTTTGATGTCGACGATGCACCACGGTCTGGAAGGCCGGTCGAAGCTGACAAAGATGCGATAAAGGCATTAGTTGATGCAAATCGGCGAATAACCACACGAGAGATCGGTGAGAGATTAAATTTGTCGAATTCGACTGTTTATGGCCATTTGAAAGGCATGGGCTTAACCTCGAAGCTCGATGTGTGGGTGCCCCATGTCCTTACGGAGCGAAATTTGTGTCGTCGCGTTGACGTGTGTGATTCGCTCCTCAAACGTCAAGAAAATGATCCGTTTTTGAAGCGGATTATTACTGGGGACGAAAAATGGGTGGTATACAACAATGTTAAACGCAAGAGGTCATGGAGCAGAAAAGATGAACCGGCTCAAAGCGTGTCAAAAGCCAACATTCACCAAAAAAAGGTGATGCTCTCCGTTTGGTGGGATGTCAAAGGAATCGTTTTTTTTGAGCTTTTGCCGGACAATACAACGATTAATTCAGAAGTCTATTGTCATCAACTGGACAAATTGAATGATTCACTTAAAGAGAAGAGGCCCGAATTAATCAACAGGAAGGGTGTAGTGTTCCACCAGGATAATGCGAGACCTCACACAAGTTTGGTCACTCGCCAAAAACTTTTACAGCTTGAATGGGACGTACTGCAACATCCACCATATTCTCCAGATCTGGCGCCTTCCGACTACTATTTGTTCCGGTCCCTGCAAAATTTTTTGGATGGCAAAACCTTTACCTCAAATGAAGATGTCAAAAACCACCTGAACCAGTTTTTTGCCAGCAAGGACCAAAACTTTTATGAGAGGGGAATTATGTTACTGCCAGAAAGATGGCAAAAGGTGTTGGACCAGAATGGGCAATATATAATTTAATAAAATATTTATTCATTATACGAAAACTGTCTTTCATGTTCCCCAAAAAAAACGAAATGACTTTCCGAACAACCCAATAAAAAAAGGTTTTCAGAGAGCGAATTTTTAATAATTTTAAGTTATTGATTATTTATCAAAATCAGTAAGATTCGTAAAAATTATTTCAAAATCTTATAAACTAAACTAAAATAAAACATTTCTGAAAAAAAAGTGTACATAGAATCTATAAATACCAATTCTATGAAAAATATTTTATTATTTTGGTAAAAAAATGTCTGTGTAAGCAATATTTTGCGCCTAAGTGGATTTTGTGTTTACGTAGCTTTCTTTATTATTTTTTTATTGTTAATACCTCAAAACCTAAAAATAAAAAACCTGTAATTATATAGTTTTAAGCTCTAATAGCTTTAATAGCTTTTACAAGAATGTTGTATCGAAAATCCTACTATTTACTTTCTAACTTCTTGTTTAAACGTTAAAAACTACATAAATTTGGTATTTGCGACTTGACGTTGACAACGTAAGTTGTGTATAGGAAAAAGCATGACAAAAATTAGTTTTGTCGATTTAGTCGGGATATTCATCGTTTTCGAAAAGTACAACCTACAAGGTTGCCATTTTAATGTTTTTTTTTTGTAGGTGAGTCCAAAACCATGTCGGAAAGTGCGAGAGGCACTGGCGAAAGAAACCGGCCTGAGCGTACGAGTAGTCCAGGTCTGGTTTCAGAACCAAAGGGCAAAAATGAAGAAGATACAACGTAAAGCGAAACAAGACGACGGAAAATCGCCCGGCGACAAGGACAAAGGCGACAAAGACGACAAAACGATAAAACAGGAATCGTCGCCGGCAAGCAGCGAGCACGGCCATTACAGCATGAGTCTAGGGAGCTTGGGAGACTCGCGGTTTCCCAGTTCGAGTCAGCCACTGAATCCCAACATGCCCTATTCGCCGGATGATAATTATCCGGCGCATTCGGGAGAAAGTTTCTGCAGTTCAGACATTTCCCTAGACGATAGTACAAATTTCGATCACTTGGACGAGGCGACGTCAGACACGATGTCGCTGCAGAACTTGGAACTACAGTCGCACACACATCACAATGACGGCGCGCCACCTAGCGGAAATATCGCGAACCCCATAGACAAGCTCTACCTCATGCAGAACTCTTACTTCAGCACGGAATAAAAAGGGGAACATGCCAGAATGTGGCTCGTTTTGAAGTTAGAAGAGATTTCTTTAAGCTTTTCGAATCCTCATACACGTTTTCTTTTTGCAAAGTCAAAATGTTGAGAGATTTTTCCTAGTCGATTCCATTTTTTTTACATTCTGTGATTTAGATAGATACTATTTTAAATGAAGACGGACATCATCCAAACGGAATGTTAAGGTATTAAATAACAGCAAGGGCCTCTTAGATTATTAATAATTTTATTTTTGGAACAACCCCTATTTTTGCCTTATTTTTCTTGTTCTCTTATTTTTGTAAATACAATAGATGTATTATATTTATTATAAAAATTAACAGAATTTTATAGAATTTTACTGTCTGTAAATATTTGCACTTAATACGTCTGAGTCGAATTATTGATTGTGATGACTAATATATTTATGCCAAAATATAGTATATAATATTGCTTAGATTTTATTATGTATATTTTAAATAAAATAATTTTGAACATTCTTTGAGTAGCATTTTTTGTTCACAAATGCGATGTGGGCTTTAACAGCACTGACCAGTAACTTCAGACATTTTTGGAAAGTTTATAGGAAAAGAATAATACAAAACTAACCCAATCTTTTTTATTAAATTGTCAAAATAATTAATATGTTACATTCTTAATAAATTTAATTTCAACTTCCCAATCACACATTTGACTGGCACCTTGCTCAAAGTAAACTTACTATAAAAAAAAAACTAATGTCAAACCATGAGGGAGCCACATGAAACAAAAACCTCTTATCTCTCTAAAGTATAGTTAGATTATTATTATCGGGTAGGTACTGAAGCCTCTTTCCTTGCCGAATCTTGCAACAACTGTGTATCGACTTCATCGGCAGGCAGTTGAACATATCGAACAACAGATCCTCTTATAAAGCAATTTTTCACCGAGAGCTAAAAATAAATAATTAGCCTCAAACTTTTAGCCATATCTCTACTTCAGGATCATATTCATAATTTTGATGTTTACTTAATTGCATTAAAAATCAAATCCCTATTGCTGGGAAAGTTAAAAACTGTTACTAGAACAAAATTACAATTATGACCAATGCTGGGAATAATTTTTGGACAAAGGGTTAACTTTAAAGATAAACACCAACATTATGAATTAGCATATGACATAAGTTTTCCAATCATCCCGTCCTAGAAGGCAATTACCATGTGAGGACATTTTTCCGTGTCAGTAACGCTTATGTCTGTGAGTTTGATATTGAGGTACTGATCTACTGAATGTAATGTGCCACATATGCTGCAAGCAAATTATAAAAACAAACCATGAAAAAATCATTCCCATTGTTTACCTCAAATCATTTTTTAGCTCAACGACGACATCCTTTCCCACTAAGGACTTAAAAAACGAATAAAAAAGCTGAAAATAAAAAATAAATGATGCAATTAAATTAACATCGAAACATGTACTTACCATATTTAATATTGTTTCATAAATTTCTTGAATCAAATGTATGTTAAACGAAATTTCAGTGAGAAACGATTTGAAATTATAAACTCTATAAAATATAACCTACAAATGCCGCTTGCAGCGAAAGCTCTACCATCTGCCCGCAAACATACTAACCTCGTTTGATTTATATAAAAAACGGTGGGAAAATCATTTTCATATTCTGTGTCGCAGACTGAATAAAAATTATTAAAATAAGAAATAAATGCTCCAATTAAAGCTTTCAACAAACTAAGATTTTAGAATGCCAATTAAATAAAACTTCATTCATAAAATTTGTCTTAGAAGTTTATAAAATAAAAACATAATTTGATTGAGTTGTGAAGAGATGGCGCGACTGAATTTTTAGAATCAAATATCCTAATTCGCTATTCTTAACCATAAACTTTATATTATGAGTTGAAGAACCGGCTGACGGATATACAAACAATATGAGTGGAAGCAGAAAAAAATCTCAGCAAGAAATGATAACGCCTTATAAATTGTCAGTGGCTATTTTACTTCGCAGTTATTGTCAATATAAAGATTCTGGTACCAATTACTGCACAAAATTCGTAATACCTATTGTATTTTAAGTTCTTACGTTTCAGACGAAAAAGGAATGGTGACTGATTTTGAAAATGTTAAGTACAAGAAATCATTTTGTTTACTTGCTCTGAGGGTTTTGCAAGGCCCAGATCTGAAGCTAGCAGAATTGAAACAACTCCTAGTTTCGCGTCCTGAACTGGAATCTATGTCCCAAAATTTTAATGAGACGCTGCAGGAGGTGTATTCAAGTGGTGTTGGTTTTCTGTTGGATATTGTGGACAATTTGAAGCAGTTAATGTCATATAATAATCAAAATTTAAATGAGAGTAAGCCTATGAGTGTGACATCCATAACAGTTTCCAAGAACAGCGTCGTCGGTAAGCGTTTGTGGCTGTGGGTGTGTATACTGTTAAATTCAACAATTCAGGTTATTTTCTAAGAAGATTCATAATGTACTTTGAAAAATTGACATTTTCTGAAGTTGCCGGGTTGTATCGGTCCTTCCAGAGATATTTCAGTGAGTGGAAGGATGATTGTATATCTAAAATTGACAATACTGAAGTAAAGTACCAAGAGTGGTATGCCAATGAAACTGTATGGTCAAGAAGACAGGCTGAATTATTTCTCGCAACCCAAGCCACTTTGTTACAAAATAATGAAGAAAAAGCACTCTCCCCCGAAGAGCTACAAAATAAGATTTCCAGCATCCTAAAGTCCAACCCTGAATTGGCAGAAGCAGTAAGTTCTATTTTTTCCCAAGAATCCTAAATCTGTCCGCAAGTGCAATGCGAAAACTCTCGCCGGCTGTGAAGTAAGTGAAGTCCTGCATTGGCGCGTTTATTATAAATAATCTGAAACTGACCAGAGTTTTAATGAACTTTGATATAGCATTTTGTTTGGATAATCACTGTTATTTTCATTTAATGTCAACGTTAAATCCTTTTAGTACTTATTTAATAATTATTGGGAAGTAGTATTGGGTAGGGTAAGGTAAAAATAATACTATAGCAATCAAGTTTGGCTTATATGTATTATCTTGAAATACATATATTAATTAAATATTGTTACACATAAATACTTAAAATTAGCAAACAAAACGATTTACTTGTAAAACTTTGCGCTTTAAGGCATTCTACTATTTTAAATATACAAAAATCAACAAATACTTATAAACTAAAACTCCCTATTTTTGGATATATTAAAGAACATATTAAAAAACAAAAAATATATTAGGCATACATAGCAACTATTTATAGGTGGTAGGTAAATAATAATATGAATTTATATGTACCCTCCTATGTAGATAATATAAAAAATACATATTACTTATATACTTATCTATACTTATATACATACTTACATCTTTATTTTACAATTTTACCATATTTTCTAATTTTTTTTCTGCGGGTATCATCTTGCAAAAATTTTCTGGCCGGGGTTCTGGAAATGGATTTTTCTCTAGTATTTCAATTGTGGCATTCAATGTTGCTGCTAAAAGCTCAGGCAATACCTGCTGAGCTTCTTTTTTGGCATTCTTCAAATGAAGTCTTTTTGATCTAGATAATCCTGCTTCTCTTGGTGGCTTCTGGTTAAATAATAATAGGGTGGGAGCAGCAGTTTTTTTTAACAATCTTTTTTAAAAAAAATTTGTGGTGAATTTAATACGTCACTCAAGACAACAAAAAACCTATTAACTCATTTTGTAAGTCTCTTTCGTAATTATTTTCAGTAAAATGAACTGAGCAGACATAGCTTTTATCTGGATTAAGTTTGTCCTCTCTTTAGAACTATCCACTCGTTCCGAATAGTTCGGGATACTAGATCTTTCCCTTTGGGAAAGCGATGAAAACTACATTTTCGAGAACTTGCTTTTTCATCAAAATAGTTGTTATTTCACCCATATATGGCACATCTTGTTCCAGGCATACCTAACCATTTTTTGATGTAACTTATCCCACTATACCTACATTATTATGTGTAATATTTTGAGCTTACTTCCTAACTAATAACACCGCTAATAAGCAGCACAACACAAAACTTTTAAGCCTTTGTTTAAGGTTGAAAATATTGTTTTTCTCAGTTCTCGCCACTCAAGCACATACATTTTTAAAGTATTTGTCAAACACTGTTTTGTCCAAGTTTTTTTACAGAAATACAATTAATACAAACATAAGCGCACTACTCACTAGTTTAAATTATTTTAATTGTTCAAAGAACACAAAATGCAACGGTTTAATACGCCTGCAAATGCATTGACAGAATACACAAAAACCGTTAGAGGACTTCGCTTACGTCACAAGCGACCACGTGCCATCGATAATTTTGGCGAACATATGTCTTATGAGATTGGGCAATCCGATTCGTGGTAAGCTCTATTTTTTCCATTTCACATGACACTTATAACCTCAAATAACACTAAAGTTTGTTTGAAGGTGCAATGTCGCCAATATTACAAAAGAAACTTTGCTGGATGACGTTATTTTTTACCAACCGTGTTAAATTAAATTGGCGGAGACCGGATTTTGTGGGTTATAAGTGCAAGCCTCCGAAAAACGGACTACTTTGTGTTACCTAGTTTGTTTTGTAGCACTTTATGTCATTCCTAAATTATCTAAGGGTCGAAGAATTTTGTGGCGCGATACAAAGCTTGACGCATTGCTTTGATAGACGGCCAAACCTGGACGTAAAATGTTACAGCGTTGAAAAAAGCAAGGAGCATCGCTATGCTGCTCTCAATTTGGCAATTTTGCTGCACCATTTCGGGCATACGTAGGTGATAAGCACTTCAGCGAAAAAGAAATCGGAAACGTAATGTTTTCCTTTAAAGGAAAGAAGCATTAGCGTCTTTACGGGAATCTATTAAAACCGCGCACGAGGCAAACGATAACCTCTGCCTCCAGCACGCTTTGTCTTGGCTCTACAGACTGTCCAACGTCAACAAGGATAATTTAATTGTTCAATGCATTATTAAAACGTTCGAATTGAATATGAGTTACACTACGTCGTTGGCGTTGCAAAACTTCGCGCACTACGCAAGCGCCAAGGTGTCGGTCCAGCCGTCTGTGATCTTTGAGGTAATTTTTTCGGATGTGCGCTTGTTCTTTTTAAAACCCATCCTGATTCACAGACCTTCACAAAAAGTGATATGCTAAATTGCCAAAACAATTACAAAGATCTGATATTTAACAACAATGTAATGAAAGCGAGCCTGTGGCAACTGTACGGCAAAACCGAAATGTGTTCCCTGTGGTCTCAAATGGTGTTATACCTCAACATAGATACAAGCGGTCGTACACACGGATCACACTACGGAGAAGGATACCTGCACGCAGTTTGCAACACCGCCTTAGTTATGCTGTTACAAGTAAGCAATCATTTTTTCCACGTTTTACGTTAATCTGGTTTTTACCGCCTAATAAGACGTCAGTTAAAATTCAATATATTCACGTCGCATAACCGGTATCGCAACTTGCTGAAGGTGACAACTTGACGAAAGCGCCATCTCTCATCAATCGGATGTAATAACACGAGAAGTATGGTAATTATTGAAGTAAATTAAGATACTTGTTGGTTGGGGTCACGAAATGTATTAGGTGATATTTTCAAAAACAAAAGAAAATCTAACCTCACATATTTGAACTGAGTTGGCTTTTACTTGATGAAAATCCATTTATCAAAATAAATAAAAACTAAAAGTTCAGATATTCACGAAATTATGAGTTTTTTAAAGTTAAATTAAAGAAAATTACGAAAATCTCAGTGTTTTAGTTTTCTATCCCTAATGACTGGGAATTTTCCGACAAGATTTGTCTTTATTAAAATGTTCCATTATTTCCCTGTAGTAATATTTTTATAATATCGGAACATTCTGTTTAGAGGTTTTCTGTTTTTTCTCTTCTTTGAGAGTTTGGTTACTTTTAAATATCTCAAAAATTCATAAACCTGACGATATATTATTTACAATGTTATTTTCCAACCGTGAAAACTTCAAAAACCACTTGCAAATACAAACGCGCTCTATTTGCAAGATGATTTTTGAAACATTTAAAATGCCTATTTTAAGACAACGCCGGGCTCTATTATTTGGGGGTGTGTCTGTAAGTCTAATGTCTTCACTTTGTGCAATAGTGTTATTTAATAGTAAGCAAAATGATATATTTCATTATTTCATAAATATTGCTTGGGTTATTCAAATTGAGACTACATTTTCTCAATAATATCTTGTGTTCTTAATATCTAAATATAGTTTATTAAAACAGTATTTTTACTAATAACCTTTTTACGTTTTTTTTCTTGACTAATGTTTCTCCCATAAACTACGCTAGCCTTTGCCGTTTCATATCTCGGTTTTCAAAAGTCAAAATTCAAAGGGTGGGAAATATCTCCGAAAACATCCAAATGCTCTCAAATCCGTTCGGTAAAATCCCGGAAATGTCCGAAGTGGCTCGGATTCGTGGGAAATCTCGGTAAACACCGGCGCTGTTTACTTTCTTGGACGTCACTAACATATTACTCTTTTTCGACCAATTTCATAAAATCCTTACGAACTATGTGGCTTTTAGGGGGAATATAATTTAGTGAATGCTATTCTAAACTACGCCAGCAGAAAATTCCCAAACGAACCGCACTCGAGAGTGTGGACGATCGTGGAAAACTTTTCAATATATACGCGCGCCCTCTACAACGAGAAATGGTTAGAGGCGGAATCGGCCGCGCGAAAGCTGGTCGTTTTCGACAAATGGGAGGGTTACCTGAAACTTGCCGAGTTGTATTTCTACAAGCAAGAGTACGAGGAAGCGGCAAAATACGTAAACCTGATCTTAAAACTTTACGATCACGACGAGCATTTGAACGACGGTAAATTCTGCTTCCTCCGGGCCAAAATCTTATCCGCGGAGATACAGTTCGCTGCCAGTTATCCGGATTGTTCGAAAACGACGTTGAGTCTGATGAATTGCCTGACGGAAGCGGAAAAACCAGAACTCGCTTATCAGGTGTCGATAATTTATTTGAATTTGGCGAAAAGTCTCCTCGCCATGGGTCAAACGACCCAGGCGATGGACACGATGAAGAACCCCAAATGCATGCTGGAAGTTTTTGCGAACGGTGGTTGTTATGATAAAGCCAGAGCGGGTTTGCTCTATGTTAAATGCCTCGTAGCCGATTCTGACAAATTAGACGTCCAAAGTAGGAGAACACTTATATTGGATTGCATTGGAACATTGGACGAGGTTAAGACAGGGTTCGAGAAAGTCGAGGCGTTTTCCAGGGTGAAAGACGTTCTTTATTTGCAGGTGAGTCAGTTATTCGGTATGTTTGGGGTTTCTCTAGATACATGAGAGAGATTTTAGGCCCAACTTTACAACGCGATCGACATGAAGACTGAACGGAACAACTGTTCTTTGCAGTACAGGTTGCTGGATGAGGAGCGCAGGACGAAAAATTACCAAACTTTGATCAAGTACCTGTGAAAGTATTTCATTAAATTAAGTCAGTTAAAGGGTTGTTTTTTTAATTTATCTTCAAACCTAAATAAAAGTATAGTTAAGTAAATAGTTGCTTAAATTTATACAAATACAAATATAATTTAAAAATTCATTATTCATAAAGATCACATAAGTTTGTGGTGGACCATATGACTTAGTTTCTTCAGATAGAACTAAATAGTTTCGGTTAGTTTCCAAGTTTTTAACGACACAACTTACAGCATTAAACCGTCAATCTGAAATAGTTTTGTTTCAATTTAAAACTACCTTTAAATGTTGACAGTTTATAAAATTAAAAAACATTAAAATAAATAAGAACTAAAAGTTCAGACTTTCACGAAATTGTCTATTTTTACATGACAATTGTTTCTACAACACCGTGACATTTGATAAAGACATGGATTTTCAACAAGTAAAAGCCACCTCAGTTCAATTTTTAAAAAACATTGCTTATCTCTGTTGTAATGGGATGGCTGCGAAAATACCTGATTTTTCAAAATTTTCAAACTATCTTCTGATGCAACGGTAGTCGTACCTGCCGAACGACGACGCACACACAGAACACCGATAAATACATTACCGGGATCTGTATTACCAAACAACATTCACAGAGTATAAAAATTAAACTTACATTGCTACACCACCAAAAATAATCTGTTTGTTTCATTAAAATTTTGGCATCATCAGTTCAATACATCTTATCTACATCACAAAGAACGTTGCACATCTCATAAATTAAAATAGTCAAACGTAAATATGAAAAAAGTCGAAAATGCTCTGCTTTTTGTGTTATACGACAGACCATTGTTACTAATTTCAGAAACATAACGCCATTAGTACGCCAAAAGCTTAGTCAATCCAAATTGAAAAAGAAAAAAAAGCGACTTATGGGCGCAACTACTTTTTCTTTCAGCGAAGGGGAAATAAAATCCGCGCCAAAATTAACTCACCGGTGAATTCCCTAAAGTGGACACATATTCCAAACACTTTTTTAAATGGGTCACAATTTTATTATTTAGTTATTCCGGAGTCGAATCAACTAACATCGACAGTTTAAAATTTTGTCGTGATTTTTATATTCTAACTAACCAAAAATCAAGACTCTCCGAGAGCTATGCAGTAAATTTTATTGTGCGCCAGTGTGTTTAAAAGTGCATTGTTTTTCTTTACTATTTCTTATTCCTCAAAGTTAGTGTATAACATAACACTGTCGAATTGTTTATGGAGTAATCGTATGGTAACGTCTTTAAGCCAATGGATTGATACTGTATAAAATTAGATGAGGTGAGTTGTAAAACAGTTATAGAGATTAATTTTGAACCAGCATTATTTATCCTTTAAGGTGTCGTAAAGAAGTTAGGTTTTATTTATTATTAGTAAAATCATGCGATACTTGTACTCAATCAAAACCCGTTCTCAAACAACACATTTAATACTAGAAGTAGTATAAATCTGAGATTAGTGCTGGACCATCTTTACATTTATGTAGTACTGCTTGTAATAATTTGTATATACTTGTAATTGGCACTTTTTTTTCGTTAGAGGTTCCGGTTTGGGTGGTTTCTGTAAGGGGTAGTGAAATAAAAGGAACTATTCAAGTACACATTTATAATAATCAATAATTTAGAATACATATCACAAGAGATGATTATGCATAATTATAAGTAAAAAATTGGACATCACTCTAATTATACGTTATAAAATCATTATAAAAAGCTACAGAAGCGGTCTTCGCTACATATTCGATTTGGTTCGTATGGACAGATCAATCATTGTTTCAGTTTTTTCACTGGTATAATTTACAAATATACCTTAAATTAACATGGATTAGTTCAATAATTATTCTAATAAGTACCATTACAATCTAGAAATATCCTACAAGTATCTTATTTTAAAATGTACACAGATTTATAAACATAAATTCGTTTTCTTTTCCTAGTTTAGTGATAAATTAAAATAATTTTTTAAAAAATTGAGCACTTTTAGGGTGCCTTTAGCTGCGACATCATGTCTGTGGTTCTCGAAGTTATTACGGCGAGGAACGTGTCAATTTATAACAAAATTGTCGATATTCAACTCATCTCGCCCGAGTAATTTTTCTGCAATGTCAATTTCAGAAAATTTTTTATTTCTTTTGGTGCAGTCCTGACGCTGAGCGTTTTCTTTTGTCGGTATAGTGTCGTGTCGTTTTCCGAGTATTTTGGCAGTGTTTAGTGGCTTAAAATTGTTAAATATACAAATACAAAAAAATCGTAAATCTAACTGATATGCTCATGACTACGCGTCATAGACAGTAAAAAATTAAATAAAAAAAAAACGTAAAAAAAAATGATATGTACAATATCTAGTAAACAGCGTTACACTTTTAATAAGTCTATTAACCTCCCAGTTGGTGTGCTTGCATTATAATTACATATTTTTAAAATCGAGGAATACTGATAACGTTTAAAACAATAACTTCAGCGTTCCCATTGTTAATTGTCCGAGTGCCTTTTCTGGCGAATTCCAAGCACAACTCTAAACTATTTATAGCGTTTGAGATCCTTTGGAACCGAAATCTATATAAGAAAAAAACGAAACAAGCGAAACGATCGGGTAAAACTTAAAAACCTACGGGATAATAACTTACCTACAATATTTGAAATCCCTAATCGTTACTACTAAATGGAAGCTATTTATTACCGAATATAATTCGTCAATGTTTATTTAGTACAGTTTTTATTTGCATTTTGTGGCTACGTCGCAATCTATTTACAACGACTTGAAGATTTCGTCAAGGTCTTTCGATAGCTGGCCGAACGACGGCCTCTTTTGGGGATCGACGTCCAAACACGCATCCTAGAAAACCAAGTAAGAGGAAATCTGACTGGCCCATTGCCCCAGGGAATACATTTGTGGCAAAAAAAAAGCAATTTCATAGATGCCTTTTCGAATGGCACAACTTCATTTTGAAATGTTTGTTTGCAACACCGCCTCAAATTACCTGCAATTTTTGCAAAGGTTCGGGCGTCGATGGGTGAGATTTCCATTCCAACTTTTTCTCCTTTAATTTGGTGAGGAAGGTGTTGTCGTTGATCTTCGGATGAGGCAGTTCTCCCTGCGAGAACACTTCCCAGATGACGACGCCGAAGGAATATACATCACTCTTTGTGGAGTATTCATCTTCGTAAACTGCCTCGTACGGAAGCCATCTCAGCGGGATAACCTAAACATAAAAAAGATCATCTGTCAACGTCTGTCGGACGAAGACCCGCAATCGAAGTACCTGATTAATATGTTTGCAGTATTCCTGACTGTAGGGATCCCTCGACAGCCTGGGCATGCCGATCTTGACCACCAAAGTGGACGTGACCAAGCAGTTCCTCGCCGCCAAATCCTTATGGATCATCCTGTTGTGCGCCAAATGTTCCATACCCCTGCTCAGCTGGTGGACTATTCCTACCGATTGCCCGGTCGTCAAGGGGGGCGGGCTGTCGCCCTTGGTCGCTACCAAGAACTTTTTGAGGTCGCCCTAAACGAAAACCCCATAACGCTCCGTTATAATCCAATTTCCTTACCGTGTTTACCCAATCCGTATGTTCCAGAATCAGATAGTGGGGTTCTTCTTCGCGACAAAGCCCCAACAGCATCGTAATGTGCTCGTGATTCAGTTTACTCAAAGTATCTATTTCTCTCTTGAATTCGGCCAAGCAATTATCCTCCTTGGTTTGACTTAAAACTTTCACCAGCACCGGCACCTCCTTGTCCTCCTTACTCTCCGGTATCTCTTCATTCGAAGTACCGGACGACCTCTTCTCCAAAGTGACCAACGAGCTCTGAGAGATCTTCGCAACCATGACATCGCCGAATTCGCCGCGACCTATCAGGGTCATTTCTTTAAGCAGCGAACGGCTGAGCGAGAGTTTGTCGTAGTTGCTTTTGGATTTTTTCGACTGGGTCGACCCCTGGGAGTTGCAGGTTTCAGCTCCGTCGCTCTTCTGACCCTCTTTGTGCGTTTCGATTCCGTTCGTTGATGGTTTCGACGGGCCTGGCCCGGTACCGTTCTCTCCTCCCGTTTTAATTTCACCATGCTCCATGTCTCCGTTTTCCAATTTCGTGTCTGCGATGGGAAGCTTCCTCGATCTGCGTCTGTATCGGCACCACACCATCAACCCGATCACTAGAATAATGTAGGCACCGGCCACCGACATCGTGATAAGTACTGCTTTCGTGACAGTCGAGTCTCCGTCTGAGCCGGGATGGTAACCATCGGTACCTATATCGATAAGAAATCGCTAAAGGTTGTCTCGGATACCCCGATCAAAATCTCTAAATGCTAACACAAAAAGATATCAAACACTTCCCCAACTCTATACTCACTTCTTACAATGAGCTGCACCTCCTTCCTGTTTAGCCCGGCGCTATTACCAGCCGTACATCCGTACTTGTTCTCGTCTTCTCTGTAGACTTCCGTAATGTAGAGGGTACCGTTAGGCAGTACCGTGAACCTCGATGAATCGAGGTCGTTCATTTTCAAATTTTTGTCCCACTGAATCGTGGGCTCGGGATCGCCCTCTACCACGCAATCGATCATGACCGCTTGGTTTTCGGTGACCTCGACCAGGCTTTTGAGAGGTACTTTGAACCTGGGTGCCACTAGAAAGGAAAAAATTAGATTACGAAAATTAAAGGTTCTCAGTCCTTGACAAGTGAGCACCGCCTAATAGACCTTTGTTACATTGACGTTTGAAGAGATAACAAGACAGAAAAAAAAACAATACATACAACACAGGTTGACCAAATTATAGCAAGCTTTAATTGAAACAAACCTCATCTTGTAAGATTGTGAAGAAAAACTCGAACAAAGGGCAATAGAGATGATTGCAGAGAAATGTAGACAGAGTGCATGGACCCCAAGTACTGGTTTGTCAAGAATAAAGTGACCCTGTCATACATTGTAGGCCGGCTGAACCCATAGCAAAATCAGTCATCAAAAAATGGTCGGAAAAAGAATGGTGGAAATAGGGCATTGAATGCAGGAACGACCACAAGTGTGCAAGACCTACAAAACGAAGATACTGTCAAAGATGTTTAGCCCAATCCCAGAGAAAATGTTCTATAACTATGGAGGTTAGGCAAAAACCTCGCAACCTGATCTGTAAGAGGAAAGAAAAACCTCAACACCACCTAAAAGGTCTTAACATCAGCGAGCTTTCTGAACATTATTTATTTAGCACCACATTTAAGAGTTCCCTTAAGGTTCAAGTCGACTGTCAAGTCACCAAAGTAGCAGAGTAATCCTTAAATTTACCTCAATTTTTAAATAGCTTGTGAGGAACAAAAGTGTCGACTAATATGTCAATAATTGCAACTTAAACCTTTGACAATAAAACTTTTGCAGTTAAGGTTTTCACCTTGAAGATATTCCGTGCTGTATTATGTCTATTGTCTTAAATTTGCAGCTATCGACTTCAAATTTAGTAAGGAGGTAGAAGTCGACACCCACATTTAAATTGTTGAAACTGGGCGCCATCAAGTATGGCGAAGTATTTTTTAAAAATAAAAAAAAAAAATTGGGTTATTGTGGTTTCCAGAAAAAAATCATTCTCTCTCCAGTTCTATAACATTTATTTTAAGCATTTTTTCGGTTATATACTGGGTTTTTCAATTATTTACAAAAATCTAAAAGACCTTGAAAATGGTCGTTTTCGAGGGTAAATTAATAGACGTAAAACAAAATTCGTAAAAAGTATAGCTAATTGGTTCATGCAGTATTATAATAGAGAGCTACGATTTTTGTATTTACGGCTATCACATACGCTGTGCGAGATATTTGAAAAAATCGATATGAAAATGTCCATCGACATCGTCACGGCGTACTGCATAGTTTCTTGGACCAGGAACCGTGGGAGATCCAGAGCTATAAAGTCCATTTCGAATATTGTTTGAATTATATACAGGGTGTGTCGTTTATGTGCAAAGAATCTAAAAGATCCTAAAAATTTCGGATTTTTTAGGTAAATTATTGCCGGTAAAAGAAAAATTGGGTTTGCGAGATATTTGAAAAAATGTAATTTTAAATCGCAATTACCAGAACAAATTTTAATATTTACCAAAGTTTACCGTAAATTTGAAGTTCGACGAGATGTGAAAAGCATTTTATACAGGGTGCATGCACAATTCAATTACATCGATTTTGCGAAAGTTCCATAGTGGTCCCCAGAAGCACGATAGATAAACAGTGCTGCTCAGATCCTAACACTGTAACTGTAATTGGGCTTACCGACGACATCGATGTTTATAGTAGTGTTTATAGTCCCCTGACTGTTGCTAGCGATGCAGCTGTACCTTCCCTTATCTTCGGACGTCACTTTGTTAAAGTGTAACGTTCCATTAATGTCAGACACGTGGCTAGGGAAGTTTTCCGACGATTTTCCCTCCCTTTCCCATCGGACTATGGGCGGTGGTGTGCCCTGCGCCTTGCAATGGATCTTAGCCACGCTGTCCAGCTCTAGTTTCTTGTTGACCGGAGGCGGAACGAATCTGAGTTGCTCTACGAATGAAAACTTTCGATTTTTGAATTCCCACCCCAACTATGTAAGTTTACCTATGACAGAGATAGTGGCAGGTTGAGATAAAACCGGATCGAATCCAGCAGTAATGATTTCGCAGACGTACTCTCCTCTATCGGAAGTCTGAGCCGACTGAATGAGTAGAGTGCCGTTGTGTTTGTACACCCTGATCCTCTGGTGGTTGGAACTATTCTCGTCGAAATCGTGCCGCAGCGTTTTCCCGTCTTTACGCCACTTTACGATGGTGTATTTGTCCCAGGTGGTGTTGTAGGCGCATATTAATTCCGTCATTTCGTTTTCGTCGACCGTTACGCTCGACGGGTCCGATAAGATTTCGGGTTTTGCTGGAAAGAGCGGGTGGATGGTTCGAATGGTCAAGTCGATTTGTTAATGACACGATTCATCAACGATTTATCGAGAATTTAGGAATGATTTAAAGCTGCTATTTACTAGTATGGGCCTACTTTTAACGCATCAGAATTATTTAACCGTCTCCCAAAACAAGAAAATGAGGTATATGTCATTTATATTTCCTTTCTTTATAAATGAAAGTTTTATTGTATGTGATTCCGTATGATATTTACAAATGTAAGGTTTTTATCCCTTTTTTATATATTTTTATATTTCAATTATATTATTAAGAGTTACCATAAAACAACTAGGAACGTCGGATAACAAGAACAAAAATGGTTTTTTTTTACAATTTTTCATAAACTTCAAACGCAATTTATATAGACTATAAGAAGCACTAATTGATCATCTCTATGGATAAAAATCATGACAATACTTCTTTTGGATTACCTATACCAAAAAGATGTGATATTTAATCATCGAACGTTCTAATTCTCGTTCGCTGAAAATCTTCTGTCAGACTAGAACCGTATATAACAGGTATTTTTTAAAAAAATATTTGGGATACAATTAAACGTCGTTAAAAAAAAAATTAAATACTCAGGTATTGAAGAAATTAAAAAAAAAAAGGCAACCTTGAGGTTTAAGTATTTTAAACCCTAGAATGTTCAGGGGGGCCTGTATAAAATAGTTATTTATCGATATTTTTTTCTCCGCATTTTATTGTAATCGCTTAAAACGTCCTTATTCGAATTCGAATATCAACTTGGCAACTGTAGTGAAAATTCATATTTGTGACGTCACTCACTCGTTACGACTATTGCAACCGATTTTTCTGTTTTTCCCGCGATGTTCTCTGCGACGCAAGTGTATTTCCCTGCGTCTGCCTCTTTGACGTGTTCAATAATTAGTCGACCATCGTCGACGTGGACATCTCCCCTATCCGAAATCTGTCAATAAAAAAAAAGTCTCATCCACGCGGGAAAAAACCACGAACTCACGGTATGTCCGTTGGGATTCTGCCACCATTTCTTGGCCGGCGGCAAACTCGAGGGTTCCAAGCAAGTGAGTTGAAATAACGACCCTCTGCCCACTACTACGGCGCCGTCGTTATGCAAAGGAGGTTCGAAAGATTTATCAGAAAACGGTTCCAAATCTAAAACACACCAAATCAAATACTTGCTCGCAGGTCCTAGAGAATCTAGTGATCACACCCGGAGCAAAAATGATAATTCTCTAATGAGATATTTGGGAACAGTAGTAAATTTACGAAATATTTCATGACATAAATGATATATTAGTTGCAAATGGAATGAATGAATCAATAACTCATCAAATCTTAGGTTAGGTTGAAATTCATCGCTTTTGCTTGGAGTGTGATAGATAACCTAATCCACTCACAGGCTAGTTTCAATTCGGCAGTGTAGCTTTGAGGTATGTCGGAGGACTCGCTTTTGATACCGACGCAATTGTACCAACCCTCGTCCGTGTCACGAACGTTGTTAATCTGCAGGGTGCCGTTGGAATGGACGGTCAGCTTGTCGTTGGTCTTCAACGGACCGGTCTCCTTGAAATACCACTCCAGAACGTCCGCGAGTTGATAAGAACAATGGAAATAAGCACTTGAGCCTTTTTTCACTATTTGGTCCGCTGGGATATCCCTTATTAAGGCGGTGTTGTCGCCTAAAGGACAAAACCGGATTGTTAGTTTGTCATTTTTTTTTGCATATCCATAAAAAATATGACTTGAAATCAAGCAAAACTTGCAAAATAGCAAATACCTGGTACGGCCATGGCGTAATTTTTGGCGCTGCGCTTGGTACCGGCGGCATTCTTAGCCGTGCACCTGTATACGCCGTTGTCCGACGTTTCGGCCGACTTAATCACCAATCTTCGTTTCTTCATTTCCAAGCGAGAGGTGGCGGTCAGCCGATCTGCGTTCCTAAAAAAATTGAAAGTGAATGCCTCTTTCTCCGAACTTCTTACACCATATAACGGGCGATTCAATAAGAGTGAAAATAAGCCGCCAAGAAAACACCCCACAAGGTTCCCTAGTCGTCGTAATTCGCTTAGCCGAGAACTTAACCCCGGGGTAGCCTCAAGCTTAAGGGTGTAACTGATACGGTCGGAGTTAAGAGGGTGGCGCACCCTTTCAGCGTCCCTTCGTCGAAATGTCACCGTAATTCAGCATAATACACCTACTCGCCCTGTTCAAGATAGGAAACTTGGAAGGGACTAAGGGCAACAGCCGTCGAACGAGAAGAAAAAATCGACCTTATATATCACAAGATATAGATTATAGTTATTTTTTAATTACTACTAGTTACTTTTTAGATAATTACAGTTAATTGTAAATTTAATTTTTAAGTAAGATTGGTCACTAAAATGCATTTGAAATAAATTCGTAATCTGCATCTGCAAGACTACTTAACACATTAAAATCAAGCTTCATTGGTAAGTGGGAAATATGAACTAGAACCAGAATAACAATATACAAGACAACATTCATCTCAATTTTAAATTTTGGATGTGAAAGCTTTGTACTGATCCAAAAAACTTCAAAGCATGGAGATGAAGTACCTACGAAAGGCCTTAGGTGATCACAAGGACACACAGAACCCGAAATGACGCGATTAGGGAGAGATTGCAAGTACAACCGGTTCTCAAGCATATTGAGAAATGCCAACTACGCTGGTACGGACACCTAAAAAGAATGGACAAAAAGAGACCAACAAAACTGGTCTGGGAAGCGAGAAGATGCAGCCGAAGAAACGGAGGAAAACCGCAACTAACATGGGATCAGAACATGGCGAATATACTAAGAGAAAACGGACTGGAGGTAAATGGCACTAGATAAGAAAAGATGGGGGGAAATTATTATAACCTTACACCTTAGGGCAGATAGGTTTAGAAATATATATGTGTATATATATATATACAGCCTTTTTTTAATTTTTATCTATTGCTCATATGATATTCGTAATCGGAGAAAAATATGGCCAATTAAGCCAAAACGGTAAGTCACAGACCCGTACTATGTTATATAATTGAAGTTGCTATTAAATGGGCTATTCGAAAAACCAATAATATACATGGTGTCTCATTTAAGACAATTGAGAAAAGTATCATTTTGCGAAACGTGGAACACCACGTATCTTAAGAAAATATTATAAATTTGATCATTTCCCAAAGAAAAGTATTATTCGTAAAAATGATAGAAAAAAGTTTAAAAAGGTAAAAGTCGCCTAACAATGATAGTTTAAAAATAACCCGAATTCTGAAGATGATCGCTAATAAGTTCGAAACGGTGCATCCCAGACCCATGCTCATATATATCGTTGAATGTATCTTTAAAAGGACTATCCAAAAACGCAACAAAATGAAGGGTGTTCTATTTAAAAAAATGTAACGTTGTTTTACCACCCTGTATATACAAAAGTGACGATTAGGAAAACAAAAAAAAACTTTTGTATTTAATTCTTTTTTGTAACCCCCCTAGGTTTCGAGGTAAGGGCCACGGGCCACCCTGTACATTTTTAGTTATATATAATATAATATTTTTAGTTATATATTTAATCCTCCTTATTGCTTAACGATTTATTTAAAAAACCAAAATTTTTTAAATAAAATTTCTATATTAAAAAAAACAAATTTCCGACCTACAGAATTTTTCCCACCCCTTTTTAAATCGACATCATATATAAACCCTAAAAATTTCGCTTTGTAATTTAAATTGCCCCAAGGTAAATTCTATACAATGCTTTTTCAAAAAAAAAATTTTTTTTCGATTTTTAAAAAAAAAAAGTTATGGCGGGGGGAGGGGGGTCAAAAACTCCCACTAAAATTCCCAAAAATCCAAAAAATTTTAAGTTTCAGCATTTTGGGTCGAATTTACCTTTAAATTGAATTTTCCATTTTTTTTTCTAGTTACACCTTAAAAAAAAAATTCGATTTTTTTTTAATTTTTTTAAGGGGGGGGGGGGGTCAAAAACTCCCACTAAAATTCCCAAAAATCCAAAAAAATTTCATTTTCAGAATTCACCTTTGAAATAAATTTTCCAGAATTTTTTTTTAAACTTTTTTTTCTTCCTTAAAAATTTAAAAAAATAAAAAATATTATCTTGGCCTATTTTAGTACCAAAGAACTTATGTATGGGACCTGTGAATTCAACTACCATAGTTTAATAAGGGTTTTTTTTTTATATAGTAGGTCTGAAATTTTTGTATCGCGATTTCAATTTTCATATTGATTTCCTCACTAGTTTTCTCCGGGATGACAAAGGTCACAATTTGATTCAATTCAATTAACTAATAAAAATAACTTGGCTGAGTAGTTTTCACGGTCGAAACGACACTTACCTGTACCACTCGATGCGGACGTCGCCGGAAGCTTCCAAATGACATCGAAGAACCACCTCAGCTCCGGGCTTAATTTCCTTCGGATGTTCGGCGTCCTCGATCGGCACCACTTCCGGGTCTTCGATGACTGTAACAAAAAAGACGCGAATAATCAAAGTGCCGTAAAAATCGGACGAAGCGAGGAGCCCTGAGGCACGCCGGCGATATCCTTCGGCCACGGTGATTGATTCAAGTAGGACACTCGTAAATTCCATCAAAACGTAATTTATTTTACGCCAAGTTCTCGAGGGCCCAGTACGAGCGAAATAAATAATAATAATAAGGCGAGGCAATTCTTCCTACGGTTCTCGTCTCCTTCCACGTCCGGGACAGCTCGCGTGATTAAAAGAGACGTCGGGGGAAATACAGAAAAAAAATAGGAGACGCCGAAATAATAATCTAAATCGGGGATAGAGCAACAATGTCTTGTTTACCCGCGAGGCTGGAAATAATGAACGAAGATGACTTTTAGGCGAGGCATTTAATATTTAATATAGACCGAATGTCCAATTTTTTGACGATATGTAGACAACGGTTGCACTTCCGGTTTGAGCGGAAAGGAAGGAAAAAACCAGATAAGTAAATACATTTTTATAAAAGCAAGATATTACTTGGGTGGCTTTGCTTCTATTCATGATCTACTACTACTACTCGTATAGTAACTATTTCACGCCGTTAAAATAGTTTATTTCTTGACTTATACATAAAAATATTTGCATCATAAATAATTCCTTGTTTAAGCGTCATGACATTAACAACATTTGACATTAAGTTTACAGGAGTGTATCTGTTACACTTTAAGATCGATCTTAATGAAAATAAATAAGAACTAAAGATTCAGATTTCCACGAGATCATATATTTGTATATGAAAATTGTTTCGACAACATCGTGTCTTTTTCAAATGCTCTATTTTGAATTACTTGAAACTCATCTTATAGTTTGGTAACTTATACAGGAGTGTTTAGCAAAATTTGAGGCATTTGATGTACTATTCTACATATAAATCCTATTTTTTGTGCAAATTTTCTCATTACATAATCAGCATGCGGTCGTAGCGTTAGTTTTGAGTCTAACATGACTCCAAGGTACTCAATTTTTATGTTTTCTATATTAACAGTACTCAGTTTTTCCCAAAAATACAAAATTTAGACTTTGACTTGTTAATATTAAGTTTGTGGTTTACATAACCATGCATATATTCGGTTCAAATCACTGTTAATACTACAACTCATCTGTCACTACCAACAATTGGTTGTTCGGAAAGTCATTTCGTTTTTTTTGGGGAACATGAAAGACAGTTTTCGTATAATGAATAAATATTTTATTAAATTATATATTGGCCATTCTGGTCCAACACCTTTTGCCATCTTTCTGGCAGTAACATAATTCCCCTCTCATAAAAGTTTTGGTCCTTGCTGGCAAAAAACTGGTTCAGGTGGTTTTTGACATCTTCATTTGAGGTAAAGGTTTTGCCGTCCAAAAAATTTTGCAGGGACCGGAACAAATAGTAGTCGGAAGGCGCCAGATCTGGAGAATATGGTGGATGTTGCAGTACGTCCCATTCAAGCTGTAAAAGTTTTTGGCGAGTGACCAAACTTGTGTGAGGTCTCGCATTATCCTGGTGGAACACTACACCCTTCCTGTTGATTAATTCGGGCCTCTTCTCTTTAAGTGAATCATTCAATTTGTCCAGTTGATGACAATAGACTTCTGAATTAATCGTTGTATTGTCCGGCACAAGCTCAAAAAAAACGATTCCTTTGACATCCCACCAAACGGAGAGCATCACCTTTTTTTGGTAAGTTGGCTTTTGACACGCTTTGAGCCGGTTCATCTTTTCTGCTCCATGACCTCTTGCATTTAACATTGTTGTATATAACCCATTTTTCGTCCCCAGTAATAATCCGCTTCAAAAATGGATCATTTTCTTGACGTTCGAGGAGCGAATCACACACGTCAACGCGACGACACAAATTCGCTCCGTAAGGACATGGGGCACCCACACATCGAGCTTCGAGGTTAAGCCCATGCCTTTCAAATGGCCATAAACAGTCGAATTCGACAAATTTAATCTCTCACCGATCTCTCGTGTGGTTGTTCGCCGATTTGCATCAACTAATGCCTTTATCGCATCTTTGTCAGCTTCGACCGGCCTTCCAGACCGTGGTGCATCTTCGACATCAAAATTGCCGGATCGAAATTTTGCAAACCAGTTCGGGCACTGGCGTACTGTTAACACGCCTTCTCTATACACATCCGTCAATTTTTTTCTCGCTTGGACAGCATTTTTACCTTTTCTGAAGTAAAAAAGTAAAATATGACGAAAATGCTGCTTATTGCTCTCCATATTTAAAAGGGCACCAACCAAAAACTACTGCGTAAAATTAATAGAACTTTTTCACACACAAGCCTTGCAATATCAGCTCTCAAGACATATAATGGTTATGCGGCTTAAGTGTGAGGTTGGTTTCGAAAAAACGTAATTAAGTCCTCTGACGGGAAAAAACGAAATGACTTTCCGAACAACCTTATATATATAACATTGTATCATCTGTGAATAATTCGAATTTGCTATCGTTAATTACCTTAGCTATGATATTAATATACAATAGGAATAATAGAGGTCCTAGTTTTCACTGGTTTCAGAGGAGTTTACGGATTCTACAAAAATTTCATAGATATCAATGCATATGTGGAAAATGTTTACAAAATAATATGTTTATATGCGGATTCTTTTGTTTTGATTCTCGATTTTTTATTTTAAAGTTCTCGCATTTTTGTTGATTTTAAAGGTATTCTCTGGACAAATTTGAAAATACTTCGAAATAGATAACGAGTTTGTGAACAAAGCCGTCGACGTGAACTGCGGCCGCACAATATGTACCCATAAAATTAACGACGGAGGCAAGGTGCGAAGACATATAAACAAAAGGCGGGTAAATAACGCTGCAGTAAAGTAAGAAGTAAGTTCTGAGAAGTCATCCCGGTTGATTGCGTGTTTAATTATGTTTCTTGCGAGCACGAAGAAATAGCAGTGTTCAAATCGACACAAAGGGCTCGGATGCTCTCTGAATGTTATCAAACTTTTATTACCCCAGTGCGTGTAATACAATGGTTTATTTGGTCATAAAGTATACGTTATGATTAGTCAAATGAAAAACATGTTGGTTTAAGAAAGAAAAAAACAGACGTTACTCAGAATGTACAAAAATATTCCTTTTGTGAAGATGTTTACCTGAAGAAACTTCTTCTAAATCCGCAGGAAAAGAAGCTTCATATATATCCTTTAAAATGATATGACATTTTTGTAGAAAAATATAAAGAATGCTTTTCATAGGGAATCCACCTTATATTTAGATAATTCAATAAAATCGTTTTTTTTTTCACATGAGCAAGACTCGCGTAATGATTCTTATTTTTTTAAATAATTAAGTTTATAGTAAAGTCCAGTCAGAGCAAGTGTGGAGTTATGTCATAGCATGACATCTTTACTAGTTCATTCCTGTGTGTCCGGGTATTAAAACTCAATAATCCACTATTTAAAAATTTGTATTTACATTATCGTCATAAACTACGAGGTTAGATGTTTAATATTTAATGTGAACTGGTGTACACCGCTACCAGACAGTCGGTCGTTCCACATGTAAGAATTAGTTTTGTTATATAGCAATAACATCCTTGGATAGCAGGTTAAGGGGAAGACAACCCCGTCAAAATTTCATCTCAATGTCTGTATCTTAACCTAAAATATTCTACTCTATCGGTTATTATTGATATAAAATTATCCTGAATTTGCCAAATAGAACGCTTATTCATTCTTTAGGAAATAAAAATGTATTAATTATCAAAATACTCCGTAGCTTACATTACCGTTTGACATACTTATTGCAGTATTATTGTTGACATAGGAAAAGTCATTTTTATTAAAATGCATTAAACCATTTCGGTATAATATAACCCTGGCTAATGTGCCCTCTGGTGGCTATTTCATAAACTCAATAAATTTTTTCACTTTGGCCGACATACTTAAGTTTTTTTTTTTATTTCTATGACCGTCAGTTGCCTTAATACTATATCTCGTTGCCCTACGGTTCGCCGACTTCGATTTCACTGAACTTTTTCAGTTGCTAGCGACTTTACAAAAATTTCCGAGCATAGCGGACAATTTTATAGTCGCCCATTTAAAAACGATCATTAAGTCGAACCTTAATAAATCAGGCTTTTCCAGCGTTTAATCCCAATTAAATTACCAACTTCAGATCGACGCTACGATACGCGGACAGGGTCGGACTAGCGACGATCGTACACGGAGCATAAAGTCGTTCCAGCGTACAAAGTAAACCGTTTACCCCATTTCCGATCATAGAGTATTTTAAAAATGTATAAAGTCTATTTACGAATTTATTTAAACACTCGATAAGTGCATTCGCAGCAAAAACCTAATGTTTTAGGTCCGTGCCTGGGATAAAATAAATTAAAATGCAAATGCGAAAGCCCATCTCTCACTACCCGTTTTGTCGCTACACGTGTAACAACTAATTGCTATTACGCGGCCACAATTTAATCCCGAGACGTTGAAGGATTTTTTTTTCGTTGGTCCTTCGAACCGGATGTCGCTTGCCGCGCTATCCAACTCACGTGGAGTGTGACCGACGATTTGAATGAGAAAAATTACTATACTACTAGAAGTGTGTTATTTGAAATTACTGTTCGAGTGATGGTTATTATTTTGTGTGGATTAGTTCGCCAGGTCAATTTCGGTTAACCCATTTTGTCCCAGTGGTGCGTTAATGCACCACCTACCTAATCTATGATTTTTTTTGTCACATCCAGGAAATATTTTTGCACATCCATTTAGAAATTTTATTATTATCACTACTAAAGCACATAAAACCGTGGAAATCGCTAATTTATGTGTAAAAGAAGTGGTAGATAAATTTGTATTACATTTTCAAGTCAATCCGAAATAGTAGAAAAAAATATTTTGGATTTGTATTGCCATTTTTGTTAAGTTTATACCGTGTAGATTACATCGCAGAAAACGAATACATTGGTTGGTGAATGCACCACTGGTTTTATCTATGAC